CAAATATAATGCTCACAACATTAATATATGTCTATATTAATGAAAAGTACTAATACGCAATCTAACTCACGGTTTCTTCAGGTTAATTCTTAGTTACTGATACATAATAAAACAACAAAGTATGTTACATGGACATTCAACAGCAGATGGTAATTGCTGGACTTCTGAAGGGAGAGTTACATCTTGTACAGGACAGAGAGCCAAGAGCCAAGAGACCTTGTGTCTTTGTTCAGTTACTATATAGAAGTGCCATAATGACGTCAGACTATAACTCTAGCCATATAAGGACAAGACCCCCAAATGCACATTCCAGAGCTCTCGAACAAAGAAAGCCTTGTGACTTATACCATCTGTTACTTATGTCAATCCACACATCCATATATAAGCAATAGAAACATAGAATATGCAATATTCTACAGTAGACATAACCATGGAAAACCCCAAACAATTGGAGAAGGAGATGAGATGATCTGGACCTCTCTGTGTGCAATAAACCAGAACGTACATTCAAAAGCTCTGTCTGTGTTTATAAGTGTCACAGGGCTGGAACAGGGCTACCATGTGCCTGCGCCGAACTGGTCAGATTGCGTGCCCGCACCCGATCAGCACGGACACATGAACAAAGATAAACTTACCTCTTGTCTGGTCTCCGGAAGTCGCACTGGGGTTTCCATGGACACTGGTCGCTTCCATAAGCGGTGATTTAAAGAAACAGCCACCAGTTCCGACTCTGGTGACGTTTTGGTGTCACCAGCTCCCAACAACCAATGGGAAACCATCTATTGCTATTTAAACCTACTTTACCAATTGTTTGATGCCCTGTTGTGGTTTCCATTTTTTTGTGGTTTTCCTGAGAGCGTGTTTCTTGTATTTTCTGACATTTTGACCTTGGCTATATGGCAAAGATGCCTCTGCCATGAGCTCCTGGAGAAGCGTGCTGGCTAGCCTCCTGCCCAAAGATGATGCGCCATGTAAAAGACCTGTTAAAAGACTTTGTTTGTGTGGTTTCCCTTTATTGTTCGGGAACCAAACAAACCCATGAACTGTGGACCAACCACATGCTTGTTAACCCCTATTGACACCTCAATAACGATTCACACCTCCTTGTTCTAAGTGGTCGGCTGGGTGGCCGTCACTCGCATGCACGAACACGTGGTGGTGGCCATCTTGTTCACACAAACCCAGGCAGTGGTGTGTGGTCGTCGAGTTCATGGTACTCAAATCGGACACGATAACTTAAGAACACCGCTGAACTCATTGCCTGCGTTTGTTTCCATACATCTTAGAAGAGCCCTGTTCGGTGAAATTGTTCGCATGGATTTGGTGAACAATCTCACATTACAACTATGGACTACGTTTGGTAGTTTGTTTGTTTTTACACTCCGAAAAAATGACCGACCACTACCACTTTTCTTATGGAACTATTTTGGGCAGAAGCCACGTGTGCGGTTGGTCAAAAGTTGACTTCCATGGAAAATCCGAACCAATCTGAGTGATTTTTGGATATGCTGGTCAGGGCTATCCGAGGATGTGACTCTTGTGGGGTTTCCATGGATTTTGGGGGTACTTTTGGGGTGTTTGAAAATTGTATGTTATTCTGTACCTGGAGATAATTGAGTTTCTACAGTTCCTGACTCAATTATCTCTCAGGCACAGGGGAGGAGTTTGTGACATGTATAAATTATGTGACTGTACCTGAATTAAACAGATCACTTCCCAGCATTAATCCTTGGCTCATGTGTGTGGGGGGGAGGGGGAATGTGTGGGGGGGGGGAGGGGGAATGTTATACCTACTCTAATTACTGTTATACTGCTATACTCTCTAGATCCAGGACTCAGATCCAGGATGGGAAGAGGAGGCGAGAACCCAGCCAAGCTGCAGCTGCTAATGGGCTGAAAGGGCTTATGGTGTCCCGGTCGATAACTAGGAAGCCTATTTTGTGGAGGTACCCAGTCGGGGTACCAGGCGATCCATCAAAGGCTACTCTTTGACTATTTTCACTTCTTGACCTTAGCTTTTCCTTATGTTTATTGTGTATTCTGTATCCCTGACCGCGGCTTGTCTCGTACTATTCTTGATGCATTAAATCCGGCCATTCTAAGGTCCGGTAATACGTTCGTGGTTCCTTTTGTAATTTGCCTCTCTTATATTTGCCTGTTGGATCATTTCTGTTCGTGACAATAAGTGGGGAAAATAATAGTCTACTATGTGTGGTCTTAACGGCCGAGGGTGTCTCTGTTGGGAATAAAATACTTTGTCTATATACAATGCTTAGTGAATATACCCCTAGACAAGAGCTATAAAACTTTGTGTAACAGGTGTTAGTGTTATTTCCTGTGTGTTTCTGCCATTAGCCTTGTTTCCTGTGTTTCTCTCTTTGATAATGCTTAGTAATATGTAATTTAGGACTACGTAGTTAATATCTTTTTATTCTAAGCGTCTAGTTATATTGAAACTTAGCTGTGTGCAAGGCCTGATCATGTAAGCTAACATGAAGATACTAAGTACATAGAATGTGATGGCAAATAAGAACCAGTTGGCCCATGTAGTGTGCCCAATTTTCTAAATACTTTCATTAGTCCCTGACCTTATCTTATAGTTAGGCTAGCCTTATGCCTATCACACTCCTTCACTGTGTTAACCTCTACTACTTCAGCTGGAAGGTTATTCCATGCATCCACTACCCTCTCAGTAAAGTAATATTTCCTGATATTATTTTTTTTGTTGTAAATTCTTTATTTTCAATCGCTTTTTTTTTTTTTTTTGTATTGTGTAAAGGTGGAGAACAGAATATAAAAAGGAGGGGGTAATAAGTATTACAATACCATTTGTATATATTCACTTCCAGTATAATTCTTTTAACATTACCAATTATCCGTGTTTGCCATAGATAAGTATGCTGTTAAATGACTATTGGTTTGTGTAGGGAGTGCTTTAAATCCCTTGGGGTTTTGAGGTCTTCTTCTATTATGGTTGGTTGCAGGGTGTGGGGTGGGAGCATGTTCCTGATAATATTTTTAAACCTTTACACCTCTAATTTAAGACAATGTCCTCTTGTTGTGGTTTTTCTACTTTTAAATATAGTCTCCTCCTTTACTGTGTTGATTCCCTTTATGTATTTAAATGTTTCTATCCTATCCCCCTGTCTCGCCTTTCCTCCAAGCAGGGCCGCCATCAGGGGGCGAGAGTTATTAGAAGAGAGGAGAGGAGAAGAGAAGAGTAGAGGCAGTGTGCTGGGCCCCCTCTGTAGTAACAGGGAGCCGGGGGGGCCCCTATGCCACCGGACCACCAGGGAATGGAATCTCCCCCCTCCCTGGACACAGGTAAAAAGCAGGGAGGGGGGAGAAACATTTAATTACATTTAACATACAATAACACAACACACATTCTGCATACACTAACACAACACACACTCTGCATACGCTAACACAACACACACTCTGCATACGCTAACACAACACACATTCTGCATACACTAACACAACACACACTCTGCATACGCTAACACAACACACACTGCATATGCTAACACAACACACACTCTGCATTCACTACACATTTACACACACTCTGCATTCACTACACATTAACACACTCTGCATTCACTACACATTTACACACACTCTGCATTCACTGTACTAACACACACTACATTCATTACACTGACACACTCTGCATTCACTACACACTAACACACACTGCATTCACTAAACTATGCATACACTCTGCATTCACTACAATAACACACACTCTGCATTAACTGTACACACAGCATCCACTACACAAACATCCTGTATTCACAGTACACACACTACATTGAAACACAAATTGAAACACTCTGCATTCACTATACACAGACACTGCGTCTAATACACACACTACATCCACTAAACACATTTCATCTAGTACAAACAAACACTACATCCACTACACAAACACACACTATATCACTGTACACACACTACATCCACTACTCAAACACACTCTGCGTTCACTATACACACTGCATCCGCCACACAAACACACACTCTGCATTCACTGCACAAACCGTATCTAATACATACAAACACTACATCCATTACACACATTCTAATTCACTTCCACTATACACACCACATTCAGTCCTGCACCATTGTCAGCGGACTAGGTAGGGCGTGGGCGGGCCCGGGAGGGAAGGGGGCGGCCCAGACCTTGTGCTTTGTCAGGGGCCCCGAAATTTCTGATTGCGGCCCTGCCTCCAAATTATACATGTTAAGATCCTTTACCCTCTTCTTGTAAGTTTTATCCTGCAATCCATGAATCAGTTTAGTCGCCCTTCTCTGAACTCTCTCTAATGTATCAATATCCTTCTGGAGATACGGTCTCCAGTAATGCGTACAATACTCCAAGTGAGGTCTCACCAGTGTTCTGTACAATGGCATGAGCACTTCCCTCTTTCTACTACTAATACCTCTCCATATACAACCAAGCATTCTGCTAGCATTTCTTGCTGCTCTATTACACTGCCTGCCTACCTTTAAGTCATCAGAAATAATCACCCCTAAATCCCTTTAGTCAGATGTTGAGGTTAGGACTCTCAAATATTCTGTACTCTGTCCTTGGGTTTTTACATCCAAGATGCATTATCTTGCACTTATCCACATTAAATGTCAGTTGCCACAATTCTGACCATTTTTCTAGTTTACCTTGTATGTATGTAGCGGGGAATGTGGTGCGACTTAGAGTAAGGAGACTACCCCAATTCTCCCCCCAATAATGACAAACAACAAATATTGGATGAAACAGGCCACAGCATTTATTAAACTTACAACTGTAGGACTCATCCGAACTTTATTCTTTTTCTTTAATTCAAATATAAATAAACACATAAATATATATACATACCATAATTAACATATAAATTAACATATAAATTACACTTATTGCCCTACAGCCTCCAACTTAAATAATCGTCCTTGCCAACGAACTTAACCAGGTGCCTACACACCAAAACCTTACCCACTGGTGTCTCGCCACCCCCCTCGTCCAAACCAAAAATTCCCATCATCTTAAATGCTCTACCACCAGCCGGCTTTTTGCTCGGTGGACACGTCCTATTCGGTAACTTAAAAGTTTACCTTACAGAGCAGGGGAGGTTGAGACCCACCATGTCCATCTCCTGACATTCCATCTGCTCCCCAACCCTGTTGGCAAGGACACGCTCCCCGCTAGCTGTGACGGAACAAAAACAGAAAATTAGGGTGGTTGGGTGGGAAGTTGTTTGCTGGCCAGAATCCCAAAAGGCACTGAGGTTAGATGATCCCTGCCCCACTACAAACCCATAACCAGGGCCGGTGCAAGGATTTTTGCCGCCCTAGGCAAAAAAATATTTGCCGCCCCCCCCATATGTCCTGCCCACCATGTGACATCACAATGCCCCGCCCATATGCTCTGCCATATGGGCCAACGCCAGTCTTCACAAAGTGTCTTTTATCTGAAAAGACAGCGTGTTTACATTAAAAAGCCTACAGGTACAGGCTATAGACACCAGAACCACTACATTAAGCTGTAGTGCTTCTGGTGACTATAGTGTCCATTTAAGGTGAGGTAAATTAGAGATTAGTGCCACTAATAATATATTCGATTGCCTACTTACCACCAGATGAGGACAAGAGGCTGATGATGGGCTCTGTCTGGCTCCACAGGTCTGGTGTAGAAGAGGCTCTCTGGAGACTGTTTTTAACAGTCTCACAACAATTAACGAACAGGAAGCAGCTCCATTTTTTATGGCCCCTTACACAGCTCAAGGTCTGGGCCCCCAGGGCTTGACTGTGAGTATGCCTACAATGCTCACCCATAAATCCACCTACATATACCCACCCGTGAGTTCTCTCACAGGAAGTGGAGTGTGTGTGTGTAGGGGATGTTTTATGTGTTATTGTAGAGGATGCAACGTGTGTGTGTTCTTATAGAATGTAATGTATAGGGATACCAATTTCTGTAAGGGATGTAGTGTGTTTATAGGGGATGCAGTGTGTGTTTTTGGGTGTAAGGAATGCATTGTATGTTTCTGGGTGTGTGTGTGGGGGGGGAGGATGCATTGTGTATGTGTGTAGTGTAAAAGAGAGGGTTTGTGGGGTAGGATAGGGACTGAGAGGGGAGCAGCACTTTATTTTTTTATTTTTTTGCATAGTGCTCACCCTCCTGTCAATTATTGGATTTCCCCTTCCCTCCTTTCCCTTAGTGCTCTCCCTTGGCCCCCTGTAGTCCCCCCTTGGTGGTCTTCTCACTCCCCCCTCTCCCCCTTAGTGGTCCTCCATCCCTCCCCTTAGTGGTCCTCCCTCTCCCAAACCCCTTAGTAGACATTCCCCTCCTCCCCCAACCCCCTTAGTGGTAATCTCCCCCCCTCAGTGGTCATTATCCTCTTTCTCCCCACCCCCCCTTAGTGGTCCATATAGCAAATCACTAGCACCATCCCCACACTCATACATGTGCCCTTGTCTCCCCTCTCCTTAGTGGTCCTCCCTACTTACCCCCCTTTGGTGGTCCTTTCCCCCCTTAGTGGTCCTCCTTCTCCCAAACCCCTTAGTGGACCTCCCCTCCCTCAGTGGTCCTTACTCCCCACCACCCCTCCCCCAGTGGTCCTTACTTCCCCCCCCTCCCCAGTGGTTCTTACTCCCCCCTTCCTCCCCCAGTGGTTCTTACTCCCCTTCCTCCCCAGTGGTTCTACTCCCCCTTCCCCAGTGGTCCTTACTCCTGTCCTTATCCCCCCCTTGTGGTCCTTACCTCCCTGGTGGTCCTCTCCCCTGGTGGTCCCCACCCTCCCCTGGTGGTCCTTACCTCCCCCCTTACCCTCCCCTTGTGGTCCATACCCCCCTTCCCTGGTGGTCCTTACCACCCCTTCCCTGGTGGTCCTTACCTCCCCCCTCCCCTCCCCTTATGGTCATGGTCCCCCCCCTCCCCTGGTGGTCCTTACCCCCCTCCCCTCCCCCTGTGGTCCTTGCCTCCTCCCCTCCCCTCCCCCTGTGGTCCTTGCCTCAGTGAGCACTTCCTGTCAGTCCGCCAGCCGCCAGGTACAGGAAACAGAGGTTCCTGTCCCGCGTTCCGCGCCGCCCGGCCACGCTAAATTGAGAGACCGGCTGGAGGGATCGTTCTGCGCAATATCACTAATAATTTTTTTTAAAGAGAATGGGTCCTAGCACAGATCCCTGAGGTACCCCACTGGTGTCAAGCCCATGCTTCGAATATACTCCATTGATTACAACCCTCTGTTGCTTGTCACTCAGCCACTGCCAGGGCGGCCACAAAGCAGCCCTGGAAAAAATCTATGCCAGCCCCGCAGCACGGCGTGGGGAAAAAAAGGTGAGTAAAAACACTATTTTAAAACACACACATACACCATGACAGACAGACAGACACATATACCATGACAGATGACAGACACACACACCACATGACAGACACACACACTATGACACAGACGGACACAAACACACCATGACAGACACACACATGACTGACAGACACACCATGACAGACAGACACACACACACCATGACACACACACACACACACCATGACAGACACACACCATGACACATAATATAGCTACCTGTGGGCGACCGGTGCGCAGGGCAAACAGCTGGGTCAGGTGTGCTGGTGGCCACAGGGGGGAGCTGGCTCCTGGCTGTTCCGGCAGCCGCAGGGGGTGAGCTGGCTCCTGGCTGTTCCGGCAGCCGCAGGGGGGGAGCTGGCTCTGCTGACTCTGCTCCCCAGCGCACAGCTTAATGAGACCGGATATTCCAGGGGAGCAGAGCCAGCACAGCCAGCACAGCCAGCACAGCCAGCTCCCCCTTGTGGCCGCTGGAACAGCCAGTTCCCCCCCTGGGCCGCAGGTCAGCCAGCTGTTTGTCCGGCCCCAGGTGCCGATGGCCCACCAGGAAATTTCCCGGTATCCCGGTGGGCCAGGCCGGCCCTGGCCACTGCCTTACCCATTCAACAATATTGGAATCCAAACTTAAGGATTGCAGTTTATTGATAATCCTTCTATGTGCAACCGTGTCAAAAGCCTTACTGAAATCTAGGTAATCCCCAGTATACCCTATTACATCTGCAAGCTAGCTATAGGTTAAGATGTTAAGATGAGATGGATGATTATTGGATAATGCTTATAAGACCATCCCTGTTTCCTGCTGAATATAACCTGCTACACAGCCCATTAAATGTTAGATGTCACCTTGAATCTTACATTGTCTTATCTTGTTCATTGGGGCTACTCACCAGCTGGTTTGGGGACAAGGAGAAATACAGAGAGTTACAGAGTTAAAAATTGATTAGAAGTCCATAGCATGAGATAAAGGAAAATTCCTGACGCAGGAAATCTTCACTAAAAGGGACACTATAGGTACCCAATTGTGTCTGGCAATCATAGCCTGACAGAGAGAGCTAGTAAGTTCCTTGACAAACTATTACAACCTCTGGTACATAAAAGCTAAGTTCTCATATATGACACAAAACAAACTTTTTTTGTCTTAGAAAATCTCACTGTACCCCCGTATACGTCACTAGCCAGTTCGGACTTAGTGGCATTATATAATAATATTCCACACGACAAAGGGCTATTAGGCTGTGCCTACTTTCTTGCCAAATCTGAAGTTTTTTTCTGAACAGGAACAAGCCTTTATTCTCTCTCTCCTCAGATTTGTGCTTACACACAATTATTTTACATTTAATGGGAAGTACTACTTACAGCTAAGAGGAACAGCCATGGGGTCTTCTAGTGCACCCAGTTCTACCAATTTATTTTTGGGATGATGGGAGGAGACCATAGTGCACACTACTATAAACACCAAATTAACTACATCTATATATAAATGGTACAGGTATATAGATGACGTTTTGATTTTCTGTTCAGGTTCTTTTGCACTCTTTGAAGAAATGGTGGACACACTCAAAGGGAATCCAATAAATCTAAAAGTCAGACATGTCATCGATGAGAAGGAATTAGTCTTCCTGGATCTAAAAATTAACATCTTAGAATATGGTGAAGTTACTACCACTCTATTCAGAAAACCAACTGCCACTAACAGTCTGCTACATTGGCACAGTTTTCATCCATACCATTTAAAGGCTAATATTTCATATGGCTAATACCTAAGAGCAAAGTGATACTGCTCTAACCTGGAGGACTTTGAAAATGAAGCCAAAGAACTTAGAAGCAGATTCAAAAGTCTTGGTTATCCAAACAAGAGTCTTAAAAGAGCCTACCAGCGAACCAAAGTGGTAGGTCTGAAGGTCTTCATAGACCTCCTGGAAATACCTCTATATCTCCAGGTATTATTAGATTTATAGGCACTTATGATAACCATTGGGATTTGGCCCAACAGGTTTGCCGTTGAAACTGGCCAGTATTGCAATATGATCCGTCTCTAAAAAACACTATTGCCAGCCAACCTTCAATGACTTTCAGAAGAGCAAGAAATCTGGCAGATCATCTAACACATAGCCACTTGGAACCATCACAAACAACACCCACGTGGCTTCAACCTCCAAAAGGCCTCTACAACCTCCAAAAGGCCTCTACAAGTGTGGACACTGCAGAGCCTGTGATTTTATTTTACCAACTAAATTGGTTGTGAGCAAACAAACCTCCAAGGAGGTTACCATTAATGATTTTATCAACTGCAGCTCCACCAATGTAATTTACCTTATAACATGCGTGTGCGGTTTACAATACATCGGCAAAACCTACCAGCAATTACACCGTAGAATATTACAACATATAAACTCCATAACCAATTTACATATCGACACTTCAGTGGCTAAACACGTACGACTAAATCATGCAGCCACACCTGGTGTACTCAAATTTCAAGCAATCCAAAAATTATCCCTAAATCACCACAAAGGAGATATTAATATAGTGTTACTTAAGGTTGAATCTCATTGGATCTATCAGTTTAGAACCCTATATTCCAAAGGACTAAATGAGGAGTTTAATTTTACTCCATTCATTCATCCTTAGAATAAAGGGGACTTTAGTTCCCCCTTCTTTATAACAGTTTAATTGGGGCTTTTTTTTTTTTTACCAACTGACTTATTATTACCAGTATTTTGTATGTCATTCTATGAGACATTATGGGGTCTGTTTTTTAGTTTTATTGAGGACTGTACTAGAATTGTATATAAATTGTCTTTCTATCATTTCAATATCTTGCCACTATATGGACGCGACTATTTAGTCCAACAACGGCTGGTTTATTTTCAG